AGTAACACCCTAAGAAGCAATGTTACTGCTATGTCAACCGATTCCTCCATGAAATTCTACCCGTAGTAACAGTTTTCAGATTTAATCTTTAGAGAAACAATAGGACAGTCTTAAGAAGGTAACCCACTTGTAACTCCTTGTTCTTTTCCAATTCTTCTTTCACATTATCAATGAGTTTTCCTAAAAACCCTTTCCGCTGAGGATTTGCGTTACTGTTCCATCGAGTTTGCTGTATCCGTCGGGTTTGATCGAAATTGTTTAAGCTAGCTATCACGTTAGGGTGTCGAATCTGCGGGGTAAATCTTGCAGTGAGGTAAACCGTTCGTCCAAGTGCTCGCAACATGCTGCAACCAAATGGCTAAGAAATGAAAAAAAAATGCGACAAGAATGGTTCTCACCGAAATAAAATAGAAACGAGGAGAAAACGACAGAAAGGAGTGAAAGAAACATGTGGGAAAACAACAGGAGAAGATCATTCGAGTAACTTCGGAGGCATGATGCAACTGCAAATTGAATGTAAATATTGTTGTGCCTGAAGCTGATAATTCCTTATTCTTAACCAAAGACCTACCTTCAGAAAGACTAAAATAAAAAACGGAAAATGTTCCGTCGATGAGGAGATTTGAGGAGTCAGAAAAAAACAAGACCGCGCATATTCTAGCGAAACACAAAATTAAGAAGAATAGCTCACAAATTCAGGAATCAAGTAGCTAAAAAGATTTCTGGAGATATACTTGGCTCGTCTAGAGAAGGGAAAATGGGAAAATCCTTCAAGGTTCGCCCACAGAAGCAACGAAGGGAAATTCCCTTCGAGAAGGGAAATTGTGATAATATGGCGCACCTTTGCCAAATTCCTGCGCGAATCGAACAACAACGCGCGTGAGATTCGAGCTTTGAAAACGGTCGGTCCATTGTTGGGAAGGGTGACATTTTTGCTCCGTTCGGATTCTCTAACCTTTTCATTAGTGTTCTATTATGTGTTGAGGCAATGCTGGCTTGTACGTGAAGGCGAGTTTGGGCGAAAAACCCGCCCCATGTTCTCCGAGGTGTAGGTTTGGGTGGGGTCTTTGGTGCAATAACTCGTGCCAGTAAGGTCGGTAGGGGGCATGGGGTGCGGC